GTTGATGATGCATGGAGGGGATTGGAACGATGGCAATGAGATGATATACAATGGAATGAATGTAAAATTAAAGTTTTCTCTTGTAAACTACCATATAATCCATAATAAAACATTAAAAAAAACACTACTACAAGAAACCAAAAGAGACTTACAAAAATGGAAGAATGTATAATATGCCTGGATAGGAAGACTTAACATTGTGAAAATGTCAATACTGCCCAAATCAATTTACACATATAATGCAATCCCAATCCAGATACCAACAACATTTTTCAAAGAGATGAAAACCAATTACAAAGTTTATATGGAAAGGAAAGAAACCCAGGATGAGCAAAGCACTGCTTAAGAAGAAGAACAAGGTGAGAAGCCTCTAACTCCCTGATTTCAAAATTTACTAAATGGTTACAGTGGTCAAAACAGCCTGGTGCTGGTATAATGAAAGATACATTGAGCCATCGAACAGAATTTAGAATCCAGAAATTAATCCATCCCCATACAGCCAAATAATTTTTAGCAAAGTACCTAAGTATATTACATGGGGATGAGATAGACTGTTCAACAGATGATGCTAGCAGAATTGGAAAACAATATGCAAAAGACTGAAACAAGGCCTTTACCTCAAGCCTTATACAAAAACAAACTCAGCATGGATTAAAAACCTAAATATGAATCCCAGAATTACAAAGGCCATCGATGAAAAATAGGGACAAATATGAGGGCTCTAATACAGGATATACACAGACTGCCAAAGATTTTGAAAATTATGCAAACAAAATAGGCAAAATAGATCAATGGGACATACTAAAAATTGAAAACTTACGTGCATCAAAAGACTTTATCAAAGGAGATGTGGATAGGTCTCTTATGATACAATAGTGAATAACTGTTATCAGGACTGACTGTGAGGATTGGAAATGTAAAGGTAGACGTTTTGTAACAAAAGGAGGGGAGTGGCAATGACGTCCAGTACGATAGCAAGGTCTTTTACCTGAAAATGAAAGGTGATTACTACCGCTACTTGGCAGAGGTAGCTGCTGGGGAGAAGAAAAACAGTGTGGTCGAAGCTTCTGAGGCTGCCTATAAAGAAGCCTTTGAAATCAGCAAAGAGCACATGCAGCCGACGCACCCCATACGGCTGGGCCTGGCCCTCAACTTCTCTGTGTTCTACTATGAGATCCAGAATGCGCCTGAGCAGGCCTGCCTCCTAGCCAAACAAGCCTTTGATGATGCCATAGCGGAGCTGGACACACTAAACGAGGATTCCTATAAGGACTCCACACTCATCATGCAGTTGCTGCGAGACAACCTCACCCTCTGGACAAGCAACCAGCAGGATGAAGAAGCCGGAGAAGGCAACTGAAGATCCCTTGGGTCCCTGGCTCGCTCTTCACCCCTCCCCGCATCACTGATTTTTTTCCCTGTCACAAATCATTAAAATATCTAGTGTTAAACCCATCTGTATTGGCAGCACAGCTACTCAGATGTGCTTTCTTTTGTCCCTCAAAGAGCAGTTTCAGATAAATCTTCATGGGCATTGCTGGACTGATTGGTTGCTTTGACCCCACAGGAGCTCCCTTTTTTGGATTGTGCAGACCAAGTGCATTCTGAATGAGGCATTTTATCCTGCCTATTGATCAGAAAATCCAGGGGAAAGTAGTGGGGAAGTTTAGAAAGGAGAATTCACCAACATAGGCTACAACTGATATTTAAACATCATTTAAAACAAGCTGATAGTGTTTTGTTAAGCAGTACATCTTGTGCATGCAAAAAATGAACTCACCCCCTCTCTGGACATCTCTTTCTTCAGCTCATGGAAAACTGTTAGGGGAAGCTGATGCAAAGAGACAATGTGCTCCTTCCCATCAGCTTTATAATAAACTGTTTAAGTGAAGTTTCAGTAGAGCCTTGTTTTGCCTCTTTAAATTATGATGTGCACAAATCTTTTAAATGCAACGCATCTGAAGTTTTGATATTTGTAACTTTTTTTTTTTCTTTTGGGTTGTGATTGTTTAAGAATCATGGATTTATTTTTTTGTAACTCTGGCTATTGTCCTTGTGTATCCTGACAACTCCATGTGTGTTAACCCATCTCAACCAAGATGGGTGATTATGAAATGCCAGACTTCTAAAGTAAATGTTTTGGAAATCAGTGGGTAAATAAATGCTGCTTTGGGGATAAAAAAAAAAAAGGAGAGGAGTGGTTGACTTTCCAGTCTAAGTGCAGAGCAGGACCCTACCCAGAGAAGCAGTGACACCAGAGATGGATGCAGAGAAAATGACGTGGAGAGATGAAGTGGTTGGGAACTTTAGACCCAGAGAGGGAGAGGGGATGTGTGCTGATGACCCGGGGGCAAGCTTGTAAGGTATACCCTTTGGTTGGTTGATGATGCATTGGAGGGGAGTGTAACCATGGCAATGAAAGATGTATGATAAGATGAATGCAAAGCTAATGCTCTCCCATGTAAACTATCACACAATTCACAATAAAACATTAAAAAAAAAAAAAAAAGACTTCATCAAAAGAGTAAAAAGGGAACACATAGAATGGGAAAAAATCTTTTGCAATGACAAATCAGACAAGGGACTAATTTCCAATATATATAGGAACCTACAACACCTCTACAAGAAAAGGACAAATAACCCAATTAAAAAAATGGGCACAGGACATGAATAGACACTTCACCAAGGAGGTGATCTGGGCAGCCAACAAACATATGAAGAAATGTTCACAATCACTAGCCGTTAAAGAGATGCAAATCAAAACAACAATGAGATATCATCTCACACCAGTAATAAGAGCAAAAATCAAAAAAGTAGAGGACAATAAGTGTTGGTGAGGATGTGGAGAGACTGGGAACCTCCTACATTGCTGGTGGGATTGCAAAATGGTCCAACCACTCTGGAAAACAATATGGCACTTTCTAAGAAGGTTGGAAATAGATGTATCTTATGATCCTTCAATTTCTCTACTTGGTATTTATACACAAGAAATACGAGCATTAACACAAGTAGATATATGCACACTATTTACAATAGCAAAAAATGGAGATAGTCTAAGTGCCCATTGACTGAAGAATGGATAAACAAACTTTGATACATACACACAATGGAATATTATTCTACCTTGAAGAATAACAAGGAAGCAGCAAGCCACTGCATAACATGGATGAACACTGAGGACATTATGCTGAGTGAAATCAGTCAGTCACAAAAGGAGAAATATAGCCTTAATCATTGTAAATGATTAAGAAAAACCACCCACACTAAAAAGGAGGAGAGTATTATTGTTGTTGTTGTTGTTTACCGGTGTGTATGAGGTGGAGTGAGGGAAGGGAGGGGAAGGTGGAGCACAGGGTAGGGAATAGGCACAGGATAGTGGAGCATGGGGTAGGGAATAGACACAGGATAGTTTGAGTGCTGGGGGTTATACACTAGAAGGGGAGGGTGAAAGGAAAAACAAGGCAGAGGGAGAATAGTTAGGCAGGTTTTACATGAGCTAAATAGGACAGACGTAAATAACAATGTAAGCATAACCATGTTACCACAGGGCCTGGGGATATAAAGTTTGAGGTATGACTTGAATGGGTAAAAGTGGGGAAATGATGTTAAGATGCTTGGCTGTCTTTTGAATCTTGGTTTCCCTTGCCTACTATTGTAAAATAGATACTTGAAGGG